AAAAAATTTTTAAAAACCTAAATTATTAAAAAATATATATTATATATTTTAATAATTATATCTTACAATATTTTTAAATCTTAATTAATAATTAATAAAATATATCATGTTTCATCTATAATATTTTTAAAAAATAAATAACCAAACACCAAAATAACTTTTAACCACAGTTAAGCACAGCCACAACATTTCACAATAATCCCAAATGCATACTATTATATTTTATTAGTATTTATTTAGAGTAGTGATTTATTTATATACAAATGGTATAAGTTATGCCTATACAAAATTTTAATTATTCATCTCTTCATTTTTAGTAGTTGAGATTTATCATAATTGTTTAGATAAAAAGATAAATATCTTTATTAAATATGAATAAATCTTAATTATTGAAAGGGAAAAAATGAATAGTTGAGATTTTATGTAAATTTGATGTGTAAAATTTACGTATAAATATATCTATACTTTGTTATTTAATATACAAAATAAATCTTTTAAATTAACTATAAGAAGAATAAAAAAACTTGTAAAGTTGATTAGAGTAGAGAAATAAACATTTTGGTTTATTCTATGTTTTAAACCTATGGGTTTATTAAACTTGGTTTTCTAAAATTCCAACCAAATGCTATAAGCTTTGTAATCAAAGATCGGATACCAGCAAAAACTTTAAGTTTCATTTTGTAGCGTTATATTGATCTATAATATGGCTATAAGTGCTTTTATCTTTGTTGGGGTAGAGGTTGATGAGTTAGTAACGATAATGATGTGGAAACTAACTAGGATGTCCTCCACGAGAAATGAAGAGGGTCCTTTCGACTTGCACCTATTACATGTGCAAGAGGTTATCCAACAAAAATGGTTTGTGTCGAGTTCTCCAATGAAGTCTAAAAATGTAGCTTTCCTAGCCAAGTTAGGTGTGCTAAGCAGCAGTGATAGGGTTTCAAGAGTAAAAAATGATTATACAATTACTAAAAATAATGAAAAAGAGATGTGTAATACAGCAGGATCAGTAAGGATAGAAAATATAAAGAGTAAGTTTTACAACTTAAGAGGCACATTTATATAAAATACATTGTAACATAATAATAAACACAATAAATGTGCACTCTATTATTGTTGACAAATACTCTCACACTAAAATGAGCAACCCTCGTATTGTGGTTAAAAATGTAGTAATTAGACATGGCAAACAAGTGGATTGGGTCGGGTTAGAGTCTGGTCAGAACAGATAACGGGTTAAAATGAGTTGGGTTAAAATGGGTCACGGGTCAATGAAAGCAGACCCTAACCTGCCCATCACAGGTCACGAGTCAATCTGCGGGTTAACCCAATTAACTTTTTTTTTTTCTCTATAATTTTTGTACGTATTATCATTTAAAGAAAATTATTTAAAAGATTTTAAAAAGAAATTTAACATCTTATATAAAAAGAATTTTTTTTCCCATTAATTTAATGTATACATATTTATAGTTTTTTAGAATCATCTTCTCCACCTCCCTTCAAAGAACAACATAAATCAAATTCAAGAACACCACACACTTATAAATCTCAATAGCCAAACAAAAAAAGAAGTAGTAGCATGACAACAAAAAATCTCAAACCCCATTGGAACATATTTGTTCTAGTCATTGCTTTCAAAGAATCAATCAATTGAATGCATCTAAGCAAAGAACAAGATCAAGTAAAATTTTTACTTGGAATGGAGAAAAAATTAAAAAGCATAAATAAATAAATAACTTACGTACCTTGAAGGCTTTAGAGAGAAAAGTTGGTGACAAAGAGAGCACTTGTTAAACTCGAAGGAGAAAGAAAGAAAGAGCTAAGTGGATGCGATGGTGAATTGGTGAGACTAAGATCTAAGTCTAAAATAATGTTAAAGACTAAAGAGAAAAGGTGGAGTCGAAGCTTGAACGTCAAAGGCTGTATGGACTATGGAGGTTGAAGAATATAAAAAGAGTTTGAACTTTGAAGAGTTAGAGTCTTAGAGAGTATTAGGGCAAGCAAGAATAGAAAAGGTTGGGAAGTGAGTCAAAAGTGAAGTGGGATTATTTTTACTTCTAAAAGATGATGAGTTAAGAGAATCAATTAGTTAATTAGAGAAAATTAGCCAATTATTAGAGATTTAGGTGAGATTGGGAATTGAAAAACAAAATAAATAAATAATAAATTAAAAATTTTTAAATTTTTAGACGGGTAAACAGGTCAAACCCGTTAATCTGGTGGGTCAACCCGTTATTGACCCGTGACTCGTCGGGTTCTCTTAATGGGTCATTAACGGGTCACGAGTCATAAATATATTACCCTAACCCGTTTTAAATGGACGGGTAACGAGCGGGTTATCGAGTTGGGTAAAAAATTGCCAGGTCTAGTAGTAATCATCTTCAAACCTCCACAAAACAAAAGCAATAAACTTAAAAGTAATAATGAAAGAAGGAAGGATGACCATTTGTGGGGGCTTTTGAATGGAGGACTTGCTCCCACTTCTTGATGCTAACCTTTCCAATTGATCCTCTGATGCTCAAGAAAGACAACCCAAAATCATAAACTATAACATGAAATTTCCCAGCCATGACGTGCTATAAATCTGGAGTGTATTATGTAAGGCTAGACATATAGAAAATAGGAGGAAAATGGAGATTTTTAGGAAATTCTAGTGTGTAGGACAAGAGGTTGAACATAAAGATTTGTTGAGAGCAAAAGATGGGGTATGGTGTGTGAAAATTGGAAGGATTTTTTCCAATCATTTTTTTAACACTGCATTTGCATTTCAACTCTCATTTATAGAATCATTCCAATCACCTAAAACAAAAATGATTTAAACAGTTTATACATCATAGTGTGTACAATTTTTTATGATGCGTATATGCTTACCTTCTACTAACAACACTTTCAGTTACAGGCAACTTTGAATTCCAAAAAAAGTCACTCCCGTATGTTCATGTACTTCTCTCCCTTGGGTGGATCAAGAGCATCAGGACAAGTCTAGAGAATGCGTGTATTGTTGAATCTCATTGGGCAGGCCTTCATCAAATGATCAAGGAAGCAAAAGCAAGGCCTATAAATAAGAGTTTATTTCAACTATGACAATTTATTAACATACCTAAATAGTAGTCTACAAATTGTTTTATTTAATTTTTTTTAAATAGATTGAGAACTATCTTGCTTAAAATTTTTATT